AAATCCTTGTATCTTTTTAAAAATTCACACATAGACGTAAAATCGAATCCTGAACCACTATTCTCTCTACAATTTTTCGATTTCTGGTCATCTAACCCCACTTTTCACATATTTAAGGCGAACTTTTTAAATTTCCCGCCATAACTGTGGTCACATGACATCTGTCACAGTGCTTTTTTTTGTTGATGGGTATGCTGAATCGATCCCACGTCACATTCTCTTCGATATCTTAATAATAAAATATTTTCCCATTTGTTGCAAACTTTTTGGCGGTCATTGTATATTATCTTTTATTAATCATAATCATTAATCTGAACTGAGGTCAAGGTTGGACAATATGTTCTTAATTTAAAATTATTAGGTGAGTACCTATGACGCTATTGATATTGATCAATTTTTCATCTGGGTTATATTACGTATAAACTTGAGGATTCCGGTTATATTTCCTTTATACCTTCAACTTTTAAACTTTTGATTTTATACAGTTTAAGTTTGATTTGCTGATTTTTGATGGCGCCCTTGCCATTCTGTACTTATTAAACTATCAACCCACCCCTAATAATTATTCGCTGAGCAAACTGAGCATATTATGGGCCTCTTGTTAATTCATTAACAATTAACAAAAGGGGTTACAAATGTGCTAGGCAGCCATCATCTTGGAACCACGTTATTCGTCGTCTAGCCAATGGAACATCTTCTGAAAGAAGCGGTGTTTCGCGTTGACAAGAACGTAAATACGCCTGCCAGTTCAGATTTTCTGCTAATTCGAATGTAGCAATCACATGTCCGTTCAAGATTCTGGTCCACAGGTTTACTTTGAATCGATACTGGGACCTTTCTTCTCGAATGGAGTGGGGATTTTCCAACGGATAAGAATGCAAATTGTGCATGTTCATAAAGCCAACCTTTTTGAATGTACCCTCATCTAACCGCTAAAAAGTTCGGGTCCTCTCTATTTTTGTCCAACATTCTGCGACAAAACCGTACGAGTTGTTCGTAGTCCCGAGGCTGCAGAGCCTGCACACGTTGCACGTGATATGGGTGATATCGATATCACCTTGTAATTTTGTTTACTGTCGATATGGGTATCCCTGTTCGTCTCTCGATTGCTCGTGTCGAAGTAATCGGATCATTTTCAAGTTCTTCTGAAAGTTGGTCATCGTAATCAATACGGGTCTCTCCTCTTGAACGAGAGCGTAAGGGATCCTGCCTTCGGAATACACACGGTGAACATTGATAAACACACGATAATTAGGATATCATGCCAAATTTGGATATCTTTCTCGATAAAGGTTAGCTGCCGCTAGAAAATTTCCTCTGCATTCTCCATAAATGAGATGCATGTTTGCGCACTGCTGGGCTGGTGTGGTAGAGGACAAATTGTTCTCTTCCGTGTTTCTCCGGTGACTGAATTCGACGTTGTTGGGCCTGCGTTATTTATATCCAGGGTTGTGGGCGTGGCTTGTTTTGGGAGATTTTCCTTGTCTTGTTCTCGAAAAGGAAGGATCTTTGTTTTTCGGAGAACTGGCAACCAGCTTCTGTTGAGATTCATACCCTCTTCTTTTCTGTTGAAGTTGTTGTGGTGTTTCTGTATCTCTATGACTTCTCTGTGGAGTCTGGTGTAAAAATGTTTGGTTCTATCCAATGCTTGAGTCTGGGGACAAAGGCTTTCCCTACCACCTGTGCTGGATCCTTGTTATTCGTGCGCTGTTGCTTCGGTCTTATGGCTCTATTTATCTCCTGCTTGGTGTACCCATTTACTTCAAGTGCTGATTTTAGGTGTTGCATCTCGTCCTGTAGGTGTCTAGGTTCACAATTCCGGATTGCCCTGTCAGATAGAGTTTTAATGGCTCCTCTCTTTTGCCTAGGATGGTGATTGGATTCCTTGTTGAGGTATCTGTCCGTATGCGTCGGCTTCCTATATACTCTGTGTCCCAGTTTACCTGAGGGAAATTTTTCTAAGAGGACGTCGAGGAATGCAATTTTGTTGTCCTTCTCAACTTCCATCGTAAACTGTATCCTGGGTTCTATTGAGTTTAGATGATTAAGGAAGTTTTCGAGCTCTGCCTCTCGATGGTTCTAAACAACAAATGTGTCATCTACATAGCGAAACCAACAAGTAGGTTTTTTTGTGGCCGTTTGCAGTGCCATTTGTTCGAAGTGTTATATGTAGAAGTTTGCGATAACCGGGCTGAGTGGACTTCCCATTGCGACTCCATCTGTCTGCTCAAAGAATTCGTTTTGCCATTGAAAGTACGTAGTCGTCAGACAGTGGTGAAATAAGTTTTTGATTTCCTCCGGAAAAACATCTTTCGGATACTCTTAGGCCTGATTCACCGGTACCTTAGTAAACAATGAGATGACATCAAAACTAACCAGAATGTCGTTTGGTAGTAGAGTGATGTCACTGATCTTTTCGATGAAATGAGTTGAATCTTTAACATAAGAGCTGGATTGGCCAATCAGTGGCTGAAGGAGGGTGTTGAGATATTTGGCTATGCTGTATGTGGGCGAATCTATTGCACTTACAATGGGCTTGAGTGGGTTGCCTGTTTTGTGAATCTTAGGAAGCCCATATATTCTAGGTGGTAAGGCCTCAGATTTGATTAGTTTTTCCTTATGTTTTCCGGGTCCAACGGTAGTGCTCGGACGAGTTGATGGGCTTTTCACAATATAGAAGCAGTGGGATTGCGCTTCAGCTTTCTGTAGGTGGAGGGGTCTAGCAGTTCGGAAATCTTTAATTCATAGTCAGTCACGTTCATGATTACCGTTGCGTTTCCTTTATCGGCAGGCAGGACTAGTATGTTCTTATCTGTATTTAGGCAGCGAATAGCTTTCCTTTCCTCGTATGTTAGCTTGTATGTTCCTCCGCAGTGGTTTGAGGTAATGTGCGTATGCTGGCTTCCACATTTGCTATGATGTCTTCGAATTGCGGGTCTCTCGGTGTTATTGCGAAATTGCCTCTTTTTCTTAGAACACTGGTTTCCGAATCAGTCACAACGCGTTGGGTCAGGTTGACAACTGTGCGATCATTGCCTGTGCCACGCCCACAACCCTAGATATAAATAACGCAGAGAAACACGGAATAGAACACTTCGTCCTCTACCACACTGCCTCTAAAGATGTCTACCGCAGCAGTAGACGAAACCTTACGTAGAAATACTAATGGACCACGGCATTATAGCCCGGAAAAAACTTTTTTACTAGTAAAGACATTCTACGTCACTATTTTCATCTGAAGATGAATCAGAATTTAACTTATTTAACGACAGCACAGGCACCTGTTTTTCAAAGTCAAATCGCATCTAATCGCGCGCACCGCCCCTCTCTCATGTCCGAGCTTCATGTTTATAAAATGAACTTAGAGGTTTCATGAAGGAAACGGCTAAGGGTTGTAGTCTATGGCTGGTGTGTGGTGGAAAGCATATTATTATTACACCATTCTCCCGTGCATGCCGAATTAGGTCAAGATTTTTTGTATGAGTTGCATGTCCATCTAACAAAAGAAGCACGGAATTTTCTTTTGTAGCTTTAGAAAAAGAAACAAATAGCTTGAACCATTTTAAAAACAGTTCGGTGGTTATCCATCTAGAATCACTAACTTCTACTACTGTACCAGGCGGTAAGCCTATCTCAACTGACTGTTGCTTCCGATTTCTTGGAAAAATGAACGTTGGTGGCATGTATGCTCCACCAGCAGAAAAACAGATTTCAGCCGTTATAGTTTCTCCTCGTTCGGAGGAAGTTAAGGTGCCTACCTACCGTTTTCCATTTGAGGCTAAAATTTTAGTGTGCCCTTTTGGATTCACAGTCAAGCCCGTTTCGTCACAGTTATAAATGAGGTCAGCAACTAGTTTATATTTGTCTACAGTTTCCAGAAGAAGGCGAAAAAAATTTGACACCGCAACCTTATTAAACCCCAATGCTCGAGCACCTGAAGTCGATTCTGGTTTTCGTAGCGGCAAAGTAGGGAGGCGTTTTAGAAAACATTGCATCCAATCCTTTCCAGCCATTTGAGCTGCTGCGTTAAATTTATGGTGGCACTGATTTCGTATAGCTTATTGATAAGCCAATCGTCGAAAATCAATCATGGTCAAGCAAAAAGTCTTGCTTCCATAGATTTTAAATAGTCGACAAGTTCTATCTCCTGTTCTTAATAAGAAACACAGTGGAATTTCCCGGCAGATTTATCAACAACAAAATTTTGCTTATTGTTTCTCTTCTTCCTGACATATTTTTCTTAAAGTTGTTTGGGGAATACCATGTTGCTTTGCGGCCCTGCTGTACCCCATTTGTCCAGTAACAACGGCATCAACTGCTGTGTTCATGGACTCGCTACTCTATTTCGGAAGCTTTGTCTTCCGAACTTAATTTCTAACCATCTGAAAAAATACTAAATAAGGTACGACATTAAATGGGGCAGAACGGTATTGTACCCCACCCCATGTGCAATATTTACTTTTAAAGTAGAATTCTTGCAAAAAAACATAAACTAGAGTAGAGCTGAAGTGATAAAAATGTTGCCTAATAATTGCTCTTTGCATAACATAATTGAAATAGATTAAATTTCAATATGCAAATTACTTACGGTGGTCAATATGGACGCCAATGTTACAAACTTACACGAAAATTCAAGCTGTTCAGAAGACGAACCCCTTGTTCGACGTTTTTCGGACAACTGACGACATGTATTTGATGCGTTTAGGTGCGATTCAGTGCAAGTTCGGATGTTTCTGGACGCACGTTCGGTTTTGATGACGATACCCCGTTCTATCCCACTTCCTCTCCATCCGATATATGAACATTCTTTACCAAGGTCATTGGTGAATATTTTTGGCAGGGCCCTATTCACATGGTCTTTGAAATCTCGCCCTCCGATGCGCTTGATACACTGTACCAGAACCAAAAATTATTTTCCAAAAAAAATCCATTATTCTGATTGGCACTGACTGATTTGTGTGTTTTTTTTTTTTTTAATTAAAATATGATATTATGCTTACATGGGTATTTTTAAAGTCCTCATTGTCCATCAACTTATCAAATTCCTGTATATTTTCTGTGAATGTCAACGGTAAATTTTTATTCAAATTTTCCATGACTTTGTCTGCAAGTAACCTGCCTTCTTCAGAATGTATAGCTTTCAATCTGCTATCAATGCTGTTAATGTACTTTTGCATACTTGCAACAGCGATGCGTAGTTTTTCTGAAATTTTAAAAAATGATCTGGAATGCAATAATCAGTAAGGATACATACCAACAGCGGCTAACAATTCTTCAAGTTGATCTCTATTGCCTGAAAAAAAAAGTAATGTAAGAATTGATTACCAAAAATGAGAAATGAAATTTACCACTATATGTTAAATTTTACATTTTTTTTTTCGGACCAGGTGGGTTGGGAGATTCGATTGCTTGTTGAATTTCTTTTCTTGTTCAGCAGGTTCGTCAGTTTGCTCACTGAGGGTCAGCTTCTTTTTGAGCGTCGGTTTCCTCACTAAGGGTCAGCTTCTTTTTGAGCTGATTAGTTGTTATTGCCTCATTTTTTCTTTTTTTGGTGAAGGGGGTAGAGTTATTACTTCAAAATTGTCCGAGGTTTCCTATTTCTAATTTTAGGCACCAGTTCCTCTCCGCCTGTCATATATTCTGGATTTTCGGCCTTTCTACGGGCACTTTTCAAAGTGGCTAAAAGATTTGATGTTTTTTTTTTTTTTATTTATCGCTTGACACAAATACAGGTTTACCTTATTTTTGATATACATATTAGTCTCCTGGCAAAATTAAATAAAGGGGATCCTCACTTAATTCTGAGACGCAAATGTGATATAAGATGGCGCTTCATTCTCAAAAAAACGAATAGTGTATTTCTAGGTTTAATGTTTGTATCAATTTACTGGCAAATGATTTCTACGATACCTTTGATACACATAATAAGGGCTCCAATAGTACAGTAAATAGGGATATTTTACTAAAAAAAAATAATTAATGGCTGAAATTTTGAGGGTGTGTTCGGGGGCATCTCCTGAGTCTAAAACTGAGTTTTCGTATTCGAGGGGGTGGGGGAAGATACTACCCCCTCTTAATGTAGGGTTGAGTTCGTTTTAATTCCATATCTTCGGTGCTATTGCCCGTACCGTCAAGTCCGAGAGATAAAATTTGTGGGAAGTAAAATTATCTATCTAATGATAATAAAATCAAGGTCATAGGACGATTAGGTGAATCACAATGGCCGGTCAAAGGTCAAAAGTGGGGGGTAGTTTTTGGTTTTTCGTGAATACCGTGAAACCGGTAGGTTTTTTCGCATACTGCTTAGATACTATTTCGAAGTACATGAAATTACCTACAAAAGGAGTGCTCAAACACTCATCTACTGTGAATAGTTTGCTGTCAATCCAACGACCAAGTTGACCGCGCGCGCCGATGCTGTACTTCCCGATAAGCTAGAAAGTTGAAATTTTCAGGGGACTTAGAACTTTTAATTTTGTCGAGCCAAAACAAATTTCATCCCCCCCCCCCCCCTGGGAAACCCTGGGGGCTGTCAAAGTTTTGACTTTTGACTTTTGACCCTTGTACAGGGTATTTGATTATATTTGGCACCATACCTACAGCCTTTACTATTTAATTTTATTTATTTTTTGGGCCGATTTGGATGAAATTTGAAGTGTAGGTAAAAGGGGTCTGAAAAAGGTTAAATTTCAAGTTTCAGCTCTCTACGACATATAGGAAAGGTTTTAGCCCCTATCTCCCAATTTTGAGAAAGGGCGTAGAATCGGGTATACGCGTTTTGCATTTATTTTCACGAATTTTGAAAAATTGAAATTTTCATCGGATAGAGGAGAACAAAATACGTCGAAATTGTCTCTAGACATTTTTTGCTCTGACGCTTCCTAAGCGCGCGCGGTCAACTTGGTCGTTGGATTGACGACAAACTGTTCGCAGTAGATGAGTGTTCGAACACTCATTTTGTAGGTAATTTCAAGTACTTTGAAATGGTATCCAAGCAGTATGCGAAAAAACCTACACGTTTCACGGTATTCACGAAAAATCAAAAACTACCCCCCACTTTTGACATTTGACCGGCCATTGTGATTCACCTAATCATCCTATGACCTTGATTTTATTATCATTAGATAGATAATTTTATTTCCCACAAATTTGATCTCTCGGACTTGACGGTACGGGCAATAGCACCGAAGATATGGGATTAAAACGAACTCAACCCTACATAAAGAGGGGGTAGTATCTTCCCCCACCCCCTCGAATACGAAAACTCAGTTTTAGACTCAGCACATGCCCCCGAACACTCCCTCAAAATTTCAGCCATTAAGTATTTTTTTTGAGTAAATGCGATTTATTTGTCTCTATTTACTGTACTACAAGCACTTAGCTGTCTTCGTTTCATAATTCTTTGGCAAATTTTTATACCTATATGATAGTTTTCAAGTGAAGAAATATTTATTTGCTTATGTCATCTGAGTCTGAGTTACCTAATACAACAGCTGCCTAAAAATGAGAGCTTATCCAAATCCCTGACAATTTTGGCTAGGTTCATAGGTTCTAGAAAGTAGCAGCTTGATTCACACTTATTCAAGTTACACATGCTGATAATTGATTGCATAATATCATTTTTGTTGTTTTTGGCACTGTGAGTTACATTCAAATATCGTAGGCAATCATCATAGTATCTAACTAATCTATAACTAATAGGATGACTAAAGGCTCGTTTTCACGGTGAGAGTACTCTCATGACAGCGCTTTCATGATAGTCACCTCGATAGTCCTATCGTGAAAGTGAGGTGTCTACACCTACCAAAAACTATCGTGACAGTAATCAATAGCAAAATGGCCGATACGCAGTTAACTGACGCGGTAGCTGCTGTAATTGGTGAAATAGTTAAAATTAAACGAAAAAGAAATAAAAAAACCAAGAAGATATGGGTGAGAAAATGGATTGCAAGAAGGAGGACACTTGGTGCTTCAGAAATACTTCTCAAGGAACTTGCTGTAGAAGACCCAAGAAGTTTTTTAAACTTCTTACGCCTGAATGAGGAAATGTTTAATACGTTACTGAATAAGGTAAGCAAATTTTGAAGTGATATAAAAGCCGTTTAACTAAGTACCTATGTTTTTTAAAGGTTAGCAGCAAGATACAAAAGAATAATACTGTTATGCGAGAACCTTTATCAGCAAAGCTAAAACTTCAAATAGCTTGTCGATATCTTGCTACTGGCGACTCACTGGGATCTTTGCAGTACCTTTACCGAGTTCCAAAATGTACCATAAGCCAGTTTCTACCAGACGTCTTTGATGCCATATACGAAGTGCTGAAAGATTATGTTATGGTACGTTCGTAATCATTAATTAACACATACTAATTACCTAATTTATTTTTATTATTATAGTTATTCACAACCCTAATTACCTATAATATGTCTTTTATAAAACAAAAAAAAAATACAAAAGAAACAGTATATTTCATAAAAGTTTTAAGCATAAGATAGGTAGGTATCTATTCTAAATAAAAATCGTAACTATCTTCATCATCTCCAGTCCAATTCTTGAAAAAATTCATGAGGCGTGGCTCTGGTTTCTGCACCTCATGCAGGCTATGATATTGTTCATTTCCTGAAGAATTTGACGGCTCTGTATCTTGTTGTAGATCCCTTACTGAGCTAGAAGTGGCCTGTGTTTCATTGTCAGATGAACTCTGCGTTTGCACACAACGTAGGCGAACATTGGTTATTAGTTTCTGGATATCCTGCTGTTGTAATATTGCATCTTGTAATGGAAGGCACTTAAGTTGGGAAGAAACATGTTGTCCAAAGGCATCATATTCATTGGAAGGAACAGACGATTTTTGGGATGCCACCTGTTTCAGAACTTTCACAGCCTGGTCCAAAGAATCATCCTCCTTATTTATTCCTTTACTCGCGGGCCTTTTGCCACTTGTCTTTGTTTTTCTCGTTGACGAAAGGGGTTTCTTCACACTCCCTATAGGCTCTTGTGTCGACTCTTCATTTGCTGTTCCAGGCCGTGCATTGAAACTTTTGAAACTTGTCTGTGTATTTCTTACTGGGTTGACAGAAGGGGTTTCTATATGCTCCCCTGGCTCTTGCGTCGGTTCTTCATTTAATGTTGCGGGCTGTGCATTTGTCTGATTTTCTTCTGGAAATTGTTCTGGCAACATCTGCAACAAAAACAATAATAAAATATTATTTTCAATTTATTTCAATTGCTAATAATAATAATAATTAATAAATAAAATATTATTTTCAATTGATTTTTCTTTTCCAGGTACCACAAAGTGAGAACGAGTGGAACAAAATTATAAATGGATTTGAAACTTGCTGGAATTTTCCCAAATGCATAGGAGCAATTGACGGTAAACATGTTTTGGTCCAGTGCCCTGCTAATTCCGGTTCACAGTACTTTAACTACAAAGGCACGTTTAGCATTGTACTGCTGGCAATGGTGGATCATAATTATAATTTTACTTTTATTGATATTGGGAGTTTTGGCAGCATTTCAGATGGCGGAATATTTGCTAAGTCCTCTCTTCAAAAAGCGCTTGAGGGAAATTTATTGCATCAACCTGACGGATCCGTTATATTAGGAGATGAAGCATTTCCACTTAAAACATATTTAATGAAGCCCTATCCCCGACGAAACCAATTAACTATTGCACAGAAAGTCTTCAATTATAGACACTGTAGAGCGAGACGTGTAGTAGAAAACGCTTTTGGAATCATGTCATCTCGTTTTCGTGTATTCAGATCCCCAATATCACTTGCTCCTCAAACAGTAGTGAAACTAATAATAGCTGCATGTGCCTTGCACAACTGGATACGAAAAGTGGGAAATGATGTAGTAACAGCAGATATTGAGGAACATGCAACAGGTCAAATAATTCCTGGATCTTGGCGCAATGATCCTAGACCAAATGGTGTCGTTGATGTAAGAGCAGTTTTGCAGCGTAACTATTTGCCAGAAGCTCGACAAAGAAGAGAAGACTTTGCTGACTATTTTACAGGGACAGGAGCACTCGATTGGCAGTACAAAATGATAGAATAACAATCGAGAGAAGACACCGAAATAAATAATTTGAATACACTTCTTTCAATATTTATATAATTTAGGATGTAAATAATTGCGAAACATTAAATAAAACTTACCAAATTAGATTCTGAGTCATTTTCTTCCAAATTGTGCCTTAGAAAACTATCAGCTACGGAGAACCATATAAGTTTTGGTTTATATACGTAATTAGCACCCGTTCCAGTTCCCATAGACTTCTTTATTTTTGCCACTTCTTGATTATATGTACATCTAATGCTCCTAATTTTCTGCCTAAGTTCTTTAATTGTAGAAAGTCCTGATAAGGGCAGCAGAGTTTCTTCTGCATGATCCCTCTTCACTCTGTTTTTGAAATCTGCCGAGCTTTTCTTCCATAAACATGGAAACCTCTCATATTCTTCCAGAAAATGTATAACGTCAAATCCCTGCTTAATTTTATCAAAATAATTTCCGATATTTTGATTTTTCGCCATCGTGCCGCTATTAAAAATCACTACTTTCACGAAAGTATTCCCAACTATCTAGTCAAGCGAGATAGTGCGACAGCACTGTCGCGACAGCATGATAGCTACTATCGGGTTATTTACATGGTGATAGTTTGTGCGATAGTTACTATCACGACAGCAACTATCGCAAAAACTATCACCGTGAAAACGACCCTTTATAGTTAAAATTTGTTTAACATCATCTAAACAAAAGCACAATGCACAATTATTTAACTTTAGAGTTAAAGCTTGTTCATCGAATAATGATTCAACATACAGAATGAAATTCTCGAATAACGCCTGTTGTTGGCCAGGAAACGGAGTGATATAAAATCAGCCTTATTCACAATGTGCTTGGTTATTGGATATTGATAAATATCTAATAAAAATGGCGGATTTCTATTCAGAGTCTTCTCAAATAACCAATTATTGAAAATCTTACAAGGTCACTGGATAAATTTTAGATATCTAATATTTTTCAATATGCTTATTCAGATTGTAAACTTTTTTTCAATTCCAGTGTTCTGTTTCTCGATTTATGAAACAAGTCCTTCAGGCACTATTTTCAAGATTGGATAGGGCAACCAAACATCCAAACATAACCTAGAATTTTTTCTTTAGCTGCTGAAAATTGAAAAATGGCAGAGATACTAAATTTCCCCTTGTTAATCAGGGCATTGGTGAACGAAAATAAAATGTAAGCTTTCAAATATCTTTCCTTACATACAGTAGAGGTGATAAGGACTTGTTTAACTTACAAATTTCCAGCCTCGAACATAATCGCCTAAAGAAAAACTTACGAAGCTTTTCAAACCCAATGGACCTTCCAGAACACATTTTTCGGAACATTTACAGATGCGAGAAAGAAACTGCCCAATTTTTGATTGATGAAATCAGTCCATACTTGCCAGAACAGGAGAGGGGACAAGCCATTCCCAAGCCATTAATAGTGTTGTGTGCCATGCACTTTTATGCTCAAGGGAGCTATCAAAAGGGTGTGGGTCAAGGCATAAACTGTCCTATGAGTCAGTCATCCGTAAGTAGATGCATTGATTTGGTTACTGATGTCTTGATCAATCAATTTAATCATGAAATAAAATTTCCAGTAACTGAAGCTCGAAAAGCGACAGAAAAAGAAAAAAAAAATCAAACCTATGGTGGTGTGCTTCCTGGAATTATTGGAATAATAGATGGAACTCATATCCGGATTCAGGCTCCACCTACTGAACATGAGCACTTTCCAGGAATCTTATTTTATAACCGTAAAGGCTACTATAGTCTCAATACCCAAATAATTTGTGGTGCAGATTATAAGTTTTTGGCAGTTAATCCCAGATATCCTGGAAGCGTTCATGATTCTGGAATTTGGGCAACTAGTGCGATACGAAACCATTTAGTTAACAATTATAATGATGGGGACAGGTCATCTTGGTTATTAGGAGATAGCGGATACCCTCTTGAACCCTGGCTTATTACACCTTTTCCAGGGGCAAATTTAAATGAGCACCAAAGACAGTTTAATAATGCTTTTAAGACTATTAGAAATTTAGTTGAGCGAGTAATAGGGATTCTAAAATCAAGATTTCGATGCTGCTTTTCACATAGAACACTACATTATGATCCTGTGAAAGCTGCAAAAATAGTATCTGCTTGCTGCATCCTACACAATATTTTTATAGGGCGCAGGGATTTGGTCCCTGAAAATGAATTTGATGGCAATATTGGTCAAGATGCAGGTGTTGCCCCACATCATCAGGGAGCAGGAAGAAATTATTTAAATGAGGGAAGGGACCGACTTGTGAGGGATTACTTCTAGAAGAATCTATATTTATTTTTCAATGATGTTTTGTATTTTTTGTAGTTTCATGGTATTTTTATTTATAATAATTTACATACATTAAATTTATGTCTACGATACACATGAATTTGTTTTACATTATATTATAATTTTTCAAAAGCAATACTTTAACTACCAATTTCACATTACCACATAAATTAATTTAGATTTAATAATCTGTGTATTGACTTTGTTAGTTCAAGTACTGCTTCTTGCAGCATTCTGAAAGATTTTAATGATTTTTTATAAGAATTAAGGAAGCAGTTTAAAATTTTGCTAGTTTTCTCCAATTTCCATGTCCTTTGATTCTTAGTTTTCTTGGTCGGAAAAGTAAGCTTGTGATTTTTTTTGTAGGACTGTGGTGATTGTCCTGTATTATTTGAATTCTAAGGAATAAAGGTATATTTTAGAAAATATGTCTACTCACAAAAATATACAGGTATGTGTGTTTTTATGGCAGAACAGCCTATATGTCAAGCAAGAAAATATATGTTTTATGCACTTTAGGGATTAAGAGTAGCCTTTCAATCCCTGTTTTAAGGGAATAAAGTGGGTCATCCAATCCCCGGGATTAAATTTCACTTTATTTCCCAAGGATATAAATTTTTACTTTATTTCCTGGGGATTAAATGAAACAGGGATTGGAAGTGTACTTTTAATCCTTCTACCACAACCTACATAAAATAGTGCATACACCTCAGGACTAAAGTGTTTTCACTCCCTCGACAAATTATGTATATATGTGTATAAACGTTTTGTCGCAGGATTAAAGGAACCAATTTAGTCCTTAGGTGTATAATGTACTATTTCCTAAGAAAATTATGTACGTGACAATAAAATTGCTTTAAAAAAAATATGTGTTTCATACTTCCGAATTTTTTAAATAGATCACCTTATTTATTGGAAGTCCCAATTCACAAACTTTTAAAAGGCCTGTGATACAAATTTTTCCTAAAATTTGGAGTAATATCTCTTCTAGATCTGTTAAAACTATTGGTATTGGTAGGCCTCCTCCTGTTAAATGGTGCTGTACATAGATTTCTCTTGCCTTTCTTTTAACACTACTGGTCCAATTCCAAAATGTCTTTAATAAAAAAAGAAATAATAGTTTCAAGTTAGATATACCTACTTGGGAAGACAAATTTTCTCAAATGCAGAACATAGTTTAGTTGTTTTTATTTATTTTTTATCATGTTGGGTTACCTGCTGCCAATCAGATACTGATTTTACAGGACCATATTTGACTTGATTAAGATCTTGGCATAATTTTTTAAAATCACAATCAGAAGTTTGATTCCTTAGAAATTCTGTATATAGGAGATATTGCTCATATACTGCATTTTTGGACCCTATAAAAAATACTAAATAAAGGTTCAAATCCTTCTCTAAATTTTTTAGGAATACATGGATTTTTTGTATAGAATTCTGTAGCTTTGAAACGAATTCTACATTAGATTTGCTTTTTCAACAATACAGAAATGACTTTATTTTATGTTAAGTTTTTTTTAGGTAAGGGTTATGACTATTTGCATGGCTATCACTTAAAAGCTATTTGAACTAGGTGGAGTTTTGAATATGAGTTTTATTTCTACAAGTGTCACATTCGAAGCTCCACTTGGATTAAATATCTCTTAAGTTATATCGGTGCAAATCAAATGGCCGTAAATTATGTAGCTTATTGAAACAGTTGATTCATGAATCATGAATAATGAAAATTATTAAATGAAGTTATATTAACAAAAGACCTATTCCAGTTATTTCTGATAGCAGTTTATTATTGTCATATGTATTTTACATTTTAGTTCAAAAATCACTTTTTTTCAGCAATATCACAATATCTATTGATAGCTTAGCAACTTCTGAAATTGCTGTAGCAATATTTTGCAGCTGCTCACTATTTTGTGAGGCTGCCTGTGTATATGTGTCACAAAGTATGACATTTGTAGTTTTCCTGAATTCTAAAAAAAAAAAACAACTTGGTAAGAATATAAAAAAAAATAGGCATGCAAAAGTACAGCAAGTTTTCAGTTCAAAGTTTCAGTTGAAATAATTTGTCGCTCAATGTGTACCAGATTTTCTTTTACTTACTTTTTTCCTCTTGATTTTTTTTTGGAATATTTGGGGCTCGATTTGGAGTAACCTCTTGAGGTTTATCATCATCATCGACAACTTCAAGAACTACCACCTCTTCGTCTAAATCAAAATCCATTTTCTGGACCTAAAAATTGAAATTAGTCAAGTCTGATACATAAAACTTTCTTCAAATCTGAAAATCCAGAATAAAGTAAGAGTTCTTTTAATTTTATATGTTTTTTTTTTTTAATTTTGTTAATACCTCATCAACTAACTTCTGGCCTAAACTCAGATTTTCTTCCTGATATTGATGTTCTTCATCTTCCTTCGGTTCATTTTGAACCTGCAGCCCTAGTTCCGGCACAGTTATGCCTTTTACAGCAACAGCCCCAGTAATATTTATTATGGCATTTTCTAAATCGGTCAGAGGTTTATTTTCTCTGGCCTTTTTTCTAGCATTGGAGTTCCATTCAGTGAATGCCTACAAAAGGATTTTTATATCTTGAATCTAATATTTCTGATGGTTAAACCAAATGTCTTCACAGCTAGCTTTTTTGGCTGGCTACAAAAACTATTCAAAAGTAATCTTGGTCAAAATGAAATGGAACTTACTTTTTTCCATGATGCTGTATCCCTCATAGGTCCATCCTTGCATGAATTTAATGTTGTAGTGAGTTTTTCCCAAGCCTTAATTATATCTTCTGGGTTTGTGGTGCTGGGATTTAATTTTCCTGTAAGTAGGACGGGATTTTCTCTCAAAAAAGAAAGATAAATTTTGAACTGTGTCTTTGTAGTACGTTTTTTTTCCATTTTTTTTCCATTGCACACTTGCTACGTGCAGAATAATATAAAAAAATAAAAACACCCACGACAAAACGAAAATAAACAACAAACCAAAACCGGCAAACCCAAACAAAATGCCAAGATTTAGGTTAGAATCCGTTGAAGAAATAGTTTTGACAGGACGAATTTTAAAAATCACTAGATATTCGCAACGTTGTCAGATTTATTGCTTTCAAAATCTAATGGCCGATTGCACCGTTTGCTTAAACAACGTTTAAATGATTAATCATTGTTTAATTTGAAAAATGACTTGCACCGTTCATTAATCAACGTCTAGCGAACCTTAAACATTGATTGAACTAAACGTCCAATTTTTGGTGATTAAAACATCGATTAGACTATTCGTACTTTTCAACCTCAATCCATTTGTTGGTTTTTCCTTTTAATGGTTCCATTGCTTTTACTGAATATTCTAAATTCAATTAAAATGGATTATGATTTCGATTTCCTTAAAGACGATATGTTTTCAAATGACGATCTTGATCCTCTGGACATTATTAGGACTGTTCCAACTTCCAACCTAGCAAAAAACCGCCCCAAGAACTTATTCGGAACCATTCTGTATACACATTTCGGATTCTACTCACAAATTTTACGTTTTGCGCAGAATCCTGGCGGTAAAATAAACGGTTCTCTGCTGGGTTGGAACAAAGCTTATGGAGGTCGGATTTCTCTGGAAGGTTTACTAGAGAAAAACCATTTTCAAGAGCTGGATAACCTGAAATTTTTCAGATATTCTCGGCTGATGAAAAATACAGTTTTGTACTTGCTGGAACTGATAGGGGATCTACTTAATTGGTTTTATTTTGTCTTGGTTTTTCACAATTTATGTTAAAATGCATGCAGAAAATGAACATTGAATTGAAAAAACACCAGAGTTCAGTCAGGAGGTCCTGACGCTCACCGCAAAAAATAACACGACAAAAAATTTCCATAACCCGAAAAACTTTGCTAGTCAAATTGTTTGACAGTTTGACATTGTCAGACATAAACTTGTGGTTCTGAATCTGCCTTTGAGCATTGTGAAGCTAGCCAAACAGAAGAATATTACGCTGTTGCCAAGTTCTTTCTCCGTTTACCTAAACACTGTTTAGTTCTAGACGGTGCAAATCACAAATATATAAACGTTGATTAAAAACAAATCATTGTGACAGTGATTAGCTAATATCACTGTTTACGGCGAAGACGGAAAAAACGGGCATAATAGACTATCAATATTGAATTCCCAGGTAGCAAGGTAACATCCTGAATATGAAAAAAAATCAACATTGAAATATTTCAATATACAAGATTGAAAATTGAAAAATATCCAAGGACGTCATGAATAAGGCTGAATATCTATAACACATTTTAGCTGGCATTTCTTCCCTTCATTTCATCGGAAAGAATAGAAAATACCCAATATATGTTAATGCTTACAGGCATATACTTGGAATTTTATTTCGTGAAGAGTCCAGGTTGATTTATCTGGATGCTCATCTCTGGTCATAAATGATTTGGAATTGATAGAGTTTGGCCATCAGCAGTACTCCTTGTCTGAAGTAAGCCAGGACCTAGGAATATATGGATAAATATTTCCAGAACAAAAATATATTACGGCGTATTTTTTCGCCATTTTAATTTAATTTAATGTAACTAAAAATAAAAATGAAATACTAATGTTCTACTAAATTATACCTTTCTCAAAAGAACCACATTGAACATCAAACTCATAGTTCTGTAACTTCTAATTCTAAACTTTAGAAAATGATTTCTTAAAAAATCTAAAAAATTCGAAAATAATAATACTAGAAACAAAAAAAAAATGTCATCATTACGCTTTGCGCTCACTGCGACACGCTTCGCCTTGTACTTCAAATTCCACCGCACGCCCCTGGCGACTCCACCGTTTTTTGACCTTGAACGCGAAAACTTCGAATTTGATCCTCATATGCGCGAGAACATAAACATTTCCAATGTTAAAAATTGTAGGTATGCAAAAACTGTGCTTATGGCACTTAACACGTTATTCCACTTGGCTTCGCTAATAGGATAATGCAGGATAATGTTAGGTGCAATAAATACTTATCTACTCTTGGCTCTTAATACAGAAAATTAATTATTAAAAAAAAACATAATTAGAAACAAAAAGTTGAAAAAAAAAATCTAATGCACTATGCACCTATAAATTTGTTTACTTATGTTTATTATTTGCTTCTTTCTTTTCAAGTTTGCGCGATGCATATTGTTTGCATGTGCAAAAATTTCTGGTGCAGAATTTGTTAGAGATCTTTGGTCTAAACCTTTCAAAATTCTTATAATATGCTTACAATAATTGAATAGGTTCAATTTAATAAAATGTTCAAAGATTGTTAATTGTTTTGTCATGATAGCACTCTGTGAAAGAAATTCTTTCACAGAGTGTCTTTAATGTAAATTCTATTACATTTTGTACATAAAGATTCCTATTGAAAGTAAATATTATTATTTCCAAAGCCTTTTTCATTTTCTTTAAAAATGTATCATTGACATATGTTAAATGCATAACTTATTTTCGCGAATACCGAGTTGAATATTCTTAATATTTCCGAAATTCCTCATTAAAGGAACCATCGGTTTCCTTTTTAAAAAAGACATCTCTGCATTCAGAACAGGTTTCTATTTTTTTTACAATGTATCCTGCCGCATATTTTAAGGCCTGAATTTGAACTGGCTTTACGAAACCAGGCAACTTTTCGGGAACTAGGCAATAGTTTTCATCCCTTCGGACTTCATCCTCAGGTAACCCCTGAAAACATTTTAAATTTTTTTATAAATCCTAGTTCAAGTTTCATTCAATCATTTAGAATTACTGAAATGTCTCAACGTGCTTAGTAATTTTAAGAATGAATTTACACACACCCGAGAAACAAACAAGGCTTTGCAAACTTAGCAAAATTTCTGACTTGTCATCCTCATAGTTAGCCCCTACAGATTGAGACGAGGTTAAATGAGTAACCAACAAACTTTTATAGTAATTGGTGAAATCAGTTGGTGTGGGATTGACATTTCTATGTCCCCTTTGTCTGATCTTCCCGAAAAAGTTTTCCAGAGGATCTTGGTTGAAAGTTCTGGGCATGAGATGGGGAAATCCAAGATCTGAAATTTCTGTCCAAAGGTCTTTGAAAATGTTAATTGTCCTAATTGAATTTGTCACACTGGGTGGGACAAGAAATTTACCAGCTCTAATGAAATTAAAGCTATTTAATTTTTGAATGGCCTGGTTTCAGGACGCAACATGTTCTGAATTTCTGGTAACTCCAACTCTTAAAACTTTACCAGGGGCTGGGTGGAATGAATTACCGTTCAGGCTGTCAAAAAGTTGGTCCAAAAACTCCAAAAGATGCAATATCAGCTGCAGTTTTAGAAAGTGTAAGCACCTCTTCTTCTGTTTTAATGGATGTACCTAAAACATATTTCTTTATTTTCTATATATATATATATGGGAATCAATGTTTGTTTGTTTGTCCCTCATGCGCTCCTACAATACTTATCCGATTACGATGAAAATTTGGTAGGTTGTTGTGGCCATCCCAAGGAGAGTTTATGGATAAGTTACGCATCCTTGCGAGGATGCGTGCAACACACGCAAATGCAGGGATTCTTGATGGATTGGCAAATGCTCGCGGTATTATTCTTATAACCATTTCGCAAAAATCATTGTACAGCTATTTTTCAATCTAATATTTAAAAATCAATGTTTGTTTGTTCGTTTTTTATGGACTCGGAAACTGCTGAACCGATCTCCTTAAAATTTATAGCACTTAGTCTCTATATAAATGGGAGTGTTATAGGCTACTTTTTATCCAGGAAAAATCCTGTGGGATAGATCTGAAGCGTAAAGCTTGGGTTAGTTTAGAACAATTGTTTTTGGGGAGGCGTAGCATAGGGTACAGCTAGTTCTAATATTTTTTAAGTAAATTTATATCAAATTCTATGTAATATTTAATTCCAACATACCTGAAAATGCAAATACATATATAATAGCATCCACAGAATGGCTGAACACTTAAGTACATTTTGATCAACTTCAAAATTAAAGCTATACAATTCCTTTCAATGTCTAATATAATTTTGTTCAGTCTCTTCAACCAACATATTTATTGCAGCTTGGTTATTGGCTCCCTGGTCGCGAACTGTGGCAACTATATTTAGACCAATATTGTGGCACTTCCTGATAATTGATTTCAAAATATGTACCAAATCTGCTTTTTTTGTCCCACCATTAACATAATTATAGTAAACAGGTTGTTTCCACTTTATTTTTATACCCCTCAATATAAATACCTACAAAAAATCATTGAAAAGTATTTTAAATCCAGAAAAATACAGAACAGTAGAAACTTTTATTGTTTTTTTTTATTAATTGTTAAGTTAACATTCCTCATCCTATGATGCCCATCACTTAGCTATGAAACAATAAAAATATCAAAATTTCAGGCATTTTGGTTATTTTATCTGTCTTTTTAAAACCAAAGTCTTCAAAACCTTTAACGGTTCTTTCTTTGAAATTTGGCTGCAAATTGGGCTGAATACTCAACTCGTGGAACGTCAAAATGCAATGTTTATCCAGAGGGTTTTTGAAGTATCTAGTTTCTGCCTTCAAGACTGTAAATACCTCATGATGCAGGCCTCGACGGATTGGAATACGGTTTAGCAAGTTTGTTACGGTTTTTCTTGAAGGAAGTGAGAATAATTTAGACAAAAAGCGATACCCAGCCCCACTTTGTTCAAGAATAGCCAATGCCATCACTTTGTCCTCTAACGTGTAACGTCTTCCTTTGGGTTTCTTAGTTATATTTTCAATTTGGCTTTGAAAAAACCTTGCTCGTAAGTGATCCATGCTGAAGACATCCTTTTCAAAAATTTCAGACTGTAAATTTCTCAGCATTTTGGAGCCTTTCTTTCAATAAAACCCTACTTCTATTGGATGACACGGCCTTCTTTCT